AAAAAAAAAAAAAAAAAGGTGGTCTGAAAAACAGACACAACCCTACTACAGCTTTGGAGCAAAAATAGAGGCACAGAAACAGGTCCTGAGGGGATTTTGTGCCTGGGCTCCTATTACAGACATGTACAAGTGTCACTAGGAGAATACATCATTTCCGTTCTGTGCCTAATATTTACCTATAGAACGTGGTGTACTGTGAAACAAGCCCTCATCTCACTTTGCTCTTATTCACTTCAAGCAGTAACGTGTAGGGGAGGGAGATGATTACAGCATTATCCTTTTCCTCCCCAACACTTGGGAGAGAGACCAGAGCTGAAGACAGACATCCCTGCTAGTCCAGAGGAATGGGGGCCTCAAAGAGGGGTTAACATGAGTCACAAGAAAATAATGAAGGCTCTGTTTCTTACACACTTGTGGGGTGTGTACACACAGTAAAATTACCATAAATTTTTTTGCTTCAGTTGCTGCAGCTCTTTAGGAAATAACCACTTCAGAAAAGCCCAAATCAGTATACATTTCATTTTCTGCTATGCTAACATTGGTTTTTAGTTCGTACAAGATGGATGTCCCCATAAACAAATGGATTAGTGAAGAAGTGCATGATTTTAAATCTTCTTATCCTGAAGACAAATCTTCAACATAGTCATTTTCCTTTTTTAAGCCATAAAATGACATTAATACACTCTCTTTACCAGAACTATAACATTTCAAAACAAAGGTCAGCTAATAACAACAAGTAAGAAAAAAACTATGTTACCATTAGGAACAGCAGAGTCTAGAGCTGTTAGTGAATGCCACAGCCTATAGGACTTGTATGAGGTGCAGCCAAGTTAGTACACCACGGAGAGGTAGAAGTAGGTGATAATAAGCAACAAAAAAGTCAGGGGCAGGAAAGGTAACATATTGGAGAAAACATGGATTTACCTTCAAAAGATATCTGTTCAATTCTGCCAATAACTAGTTGGACAACTTAACTATTTGAACCCAAGTTTCCTCATTTGCATTTGGGAGAGCAATAGACAGCAGGCTGTTGTGAAGTGGACAGTATTAACTTTGGGGGAGGAGGACTAAATTGGCACCTGATTTCGTCCTTGTGTAACTCTATTCCAGGACACCCTGGAGAGTTGATTATTGGACTCTGGGATCAGAGTAGTAGAAGACCAACACAAGCCTGATTGCTGATGTTTTGCTGTGTAGTACTGGCTGTCATCACTTTCAAAGACAGGTCAATCTTAAGGACTTTCTACAGGGCCTAAT